AAGCTAAAGAAGCACCCTCTACAAATTATCTAAGAAAAAGGCTAAAGAAGCACCCTCTACAAATTTATCTAAGAGAAAGGCTAAAGAAGCACCCTCTACAAATTTATCTAAGAGAAAGGCTAAAGAAGCACCCTCTACAAATTTATCTAAGAGAAAGGCTAAAGAAGCACCCTCTACAAATTTATCTAAGAAAAAGGCTAAAGAAGCACCCTCTACAAATTTATCTAAGAAAAAGGCTAAAGAAGCACCATTACTTCCTAAAAATAAAAATAAGAAAAAAGGTCTAAAAGTAAAAGAAGAAAGATCATCCATACAGAATTCAAAACCTAAAAATCATCCTAAAGCTGAAATTCAAAAGGAAACAAAAATTTCAAATAAAAATATAGGAGCTACTAAAAAAATTCACAAGCATAATTTTGGGAAGCATACTAAAAAGCGGAAATGGAATTCCAGTACCAAGAAATCTAGGAAGAAAGCATCCATTCTTATGTCAACCGATTTTCACGAAGAGAGTATTCCTGAGGTAAAGCTATTTTTACTAAGTAAAGTTCACCTATCGTCTAATGAAAAAGAGAAGATTCAAACCAGTCAAAAATTAGCAAGAGGAAATCTAAATAAAAAACTTAGTCCTGAATTTAAAGATCCATACGAGGTCAAGAAAATATCTGGCAAAAACGTTTTATTAAAAATCCGTAACAAGGAAGTTACTTATCGCAAAACCGTGTTCTGAGTAGTTGATCTAAAAAGAGAGAAATCCAAAATAATAATAATTTAATCCTTTAATTTTTCCTCATACAGCTAATCATCATTTATTTTATTATTAATCCATTTATTCTATTTCTAATCATTATTCTATGTTTCCTATATAAAATTCTTGTATTTTTCAGAACTTATGTCAATTTTGTTTCGAATTTCATGTCTCTTGATTTTATTCTTTTATCTTTACTCTTTATGTAACATTGTTCACTAACGAGTATTGCCTAGGAAAGGTTCTACTACTTGCAGCTATAAAGCTTAAAATTATGTTCCTGATAAGAAGCCAATGTGAAGAGATACAACAGTCTACCATACAGAAGACATAGCACCTACTACTACTCAAGGAGTCTCAACCTGGACGGAACCATTCAGAACCCGACATAGGAAGCTGTCAAATCCAAACAAGAGGAGAAAACAAATTCTTTTTCAAATAATTGTTTTCCGTCTTAAGGGGGGAGGTGTTATGATCCCGTACTCAATATTCACATTTTCAACTTTTTATAAACAAAAGACTGGCGACGAACTCAAATTGTTCTTCTTTAGAAGCGAAGCTTCTAAAGACTCCTTCTTTTATTTTATTTGCAAGTGTTTGCTCGAACATTCGAAACAGTTGACTGACGAAAGACAAAAGTAATATAGGCAAGCTACACAGCTTGGCGTTGGTTCATTTGATTTTTAGTCTAGCTGTAATAAGTTCTTGTTTATTAATATTAGTTTTGTTAGTGATAGTTTTAAGTGCTTGTTCATTACTTACAAAAATAAAGAACGAACCGAATATAACAATATATATTTTTACTTCCTTTTTTTTTTTTATTATAAAATATCAATAATAATTTTATTCAAGTACACATGGTAATTAATGATTGAATATGGCTGGAATGATATTTATTTTTTAAATAAGTTTTAGAATTTTTATTTGCCTTTGATTACAATAATAATAATAATAATAATTAATAATAATAATAATAATAAATTTTATTATTACCATTCGCACACCCGTCCCATTCCCTTCATCCCCCCTTTCCTACTCACACTCACACACAGACACACAAGTTTTTTTTTTTGTTGAAAATTTAAAAATAATTTTTATTTATTATCATTATTATTATTAATAATTAAATTTTTAAAGACCCTTCAACATTATTTATTAATCAATCAATCATTTTTTTTAAATTTACATATAATAATTTTTATAATTATTTACACATATTTAAACAAACAAACAAATATATAAGAAAAAGAAAATGGATGTCACCCATAGTTTATTATTATTATTATTATTATCATCATTAATCATTTGATGTGAATTCCAAAAAAAAAAAAACAAATTTTCAATCAATCAATCAATCAATAAATCGATAAAAACCGATTAGACAACGACGTTTAGGCATTTTTTAAAATTAATTTACAAGCGGGTAAAATTTTTTTTTTTTTTTTCACAAGTGGGGGGAAGGGAAAATCTGACAAAAAAAATACGAAATTTACATCTTTTTTTTTTCATTATCATTATTATTAACAAAAACGAAAAGGAATGTTTTTTATTTATTTATTTATTTAAATAAAAATAAAATTCGTTGGAATGATTTTATTAACGTGTTTTATGGGTGCGTGAGTGCGTGAGTGAATACGTCACCAAAAAAACGTTTCGAATATATATTAAATAAATAATAAAAACGACGCCATTTTGATTTACAAGTATGTACGTACGTAATACTCGGTTAGTCAAATGAGTTTGTGTGATCGATAATTAAAATAATCAAAATGAGTCAAATGAGGATCTTTAATAAATATAAAAAAAAAGCTGCCTTTTCAAATAAATAAAAAAAAATGGCGACACACTCAATGCCCAAAATCACGATAAAATCTAATTACACGATTTTATTAATTAAATTCAATAAAAATTAAATATTTTTTTCTTTTTGTTTTATTAATTATTATTATGATGATGATGATGATGATGATGATGATGATGATGATGATGTACGATGTGTGGTGGGCGACGGCAATGACGTCAACGATGGCGACAACGATGGCAACGTTGCACTTTTTTTTTCTCATTAACATTTATATAATTTCACATAATAGTTTAACTGCCACCACGTTTATTTTATTTATTTTATTAATTTTACAAACATCCTTTTCATACATAACCTTGTTGTCGTTTTATTACGTCATTTCGTAACAATAATAATAATAATGATGATAATGATGATAAATAAATAATAATATGGAAATAATAATAATAATTATAAATTATTATTATTAAACTAAAACTTCTCTGTAATTTTTTTTCTTCTTCTTTTTTTTACCATCATTATCATTATCATTATTATTATTATTATTATTAATAATGATGACGACACTATTATTATTATCATTCGAACGTGTTGAAAAACAAAAATTTATTCATCATCTCGTTCCGTAAATTAATGTGATAAAAATCAATAAAAACAATAGCGAAGGACCCGCCATTAAATGACTGCTCGTATCCGCCGCCATTTTGGATTCGCATTGACCTATGACGATAACAAAAAAAATTTTTTGAGAATTTTTTGGAGGGAAAAAAGAAAAATGTTTAAAAAAAAAAGGTAAAAAAAAAAAACTCACCGACGAGAGTCAAATTAAATGCTTTTATACCATTTATACCAGGTTTTATGGATCTGTAACAACTTTCGGCAACGGTGGACATCATTAATTTTGTTATTTTTCTTTTACCACTTCCGGAATCGTGTTTCGATGACGATGACGATGATGACGATGATGACGTAAACGATATAGATGAAATGTAATTATTATTATTATCTTTTCCGATAGATTCGTTGCTGTCGTATCCTGATGCGGTCGTTATGAAACAATATCTTCTTGCTTCCGTTGATTTTCTCGATGCTGGACTTGCTATTAAGTAATAAGTGCCATTTTCTTCCCAACTTCCGTAACACGAATATACTATACAAAAATAGAAAATTATTTAATTAATAATAATAATACTTCTAAAACGATATATCGTTCGATATTATTTATATTAAAAAACCTGAATTTGTTTCTGGTCCGCAAGAACTTTGAAATTCCATCGTGTCACGGCCGACACCAGTACAACCAACGTTTAAACTTTCAAATTTTTCCGAATCGCATATTTTTATCTTATCATTTTTATCCGATAATGAATTTCCTTCTCTTTTTGTTATTCTTTTTTCCCGCCATTTTTCAACGTCACGACTTAATCTTCCGGTATTTTCAAAACCTTCGCTTTGTCCCACTACGACGTATCTACCCAAATGTGGACATTTTCTCTGATGTAAAGACGCGGCTGTTTTTTATGAAATAAAAAAAAAAAACAAAAATTATCATCATCATCATCATCATTTCATAGAGTAATAAATAAATAAATTTGTTTGTTTTTACTTACTTATTAAAGTGATGAACGGTAATTTTGACGGATCGAAATTATTCTGATTGCAGGCTTCGTCGGGAACCTGTACGAGATTTGTCGATTGTTGTAATTCGATGACTGTGCTGTCGCGACGGTAAAAACCCAAACAAATGTAACCGCTATCACAGCCGTTTGTCACGTGAGCGATAACAATTGAATATTGAGGTTCAGTCTTAACTTCAGAATGACAAACCACCCGCATTTCCGCCGAGTTTGGTTTTCTTATGCCTGACGTATAAGGCAAAGTTACGGAACGTATATTACCTGGAAAAAAATAAATTTTTATAGAATTTATTCCGATCTGTGGGTGGCAGGTTATGGTGCCATCGGTTACACTCCGCCTAAACAGGAAACTGATCGAAAAACGATTCCGGAAGGTACGTAATAATAATAATGATAAAAGAAAACGAGTTGGAGGAAGGCTGCTTGCAATCTATGAAAGCAAAGTCCAATCCCAAAAGCTTTTAACAAAAGGAAATTTAAAGAAAATTTTGAAGAATTTAAAAGAAGAAACCTTTCAGGAAATAGCGCTACGTGGGACGGCCCACATTTTTCGAAAGCAGCAGCTCCATGGAATCAGGTAGACGAGACTTGGAATAAACGTTCAAAACCTCCGACAGGCACACAAAATCTCGTCGTGTTAAAAAGTAATAATAATAATAATAATAAATAATAACCTGTATTGACATCTTCGGTTATTTTTAAAGTTGCATTCTTATGTGAAAAATGATAAGATTTCTTATAGTCCAAAGTGTGCCAATGATGATGTTCGGTTATCCACGTCGGGTATTTACATTTCGTGTGAGCGTTTTCAACTGGAAAATAAAAAAAAAAAAAAAAAAAATTCTCATAAATGTTAATAACATTAGTGACGACATACATACATATATATTCATACGAACCTTTTGTTAATCTCATGACCTTTGAACCTTCCAAAGCGGAAGGTAGACCGTTACACGTGGCATCTCCACTTTGTGCAACATTATACGAAACTTTCCTATCGTGAGTTTGAACTCTTTCGTATACGAAACACCTATAGGATTCTTCGTTTGTTTTTATTCTGTTGTGTGATAATTTTCCGACCATGTAACGAGTCGAACCATCTTTCCACGTTGCCAAACATTGAAGTTCTTCGACTTTAGAAAATTGAAAGAGAGAGAGAGACGGAGAGAAAAAGAGAAAGAGAGAGAGAGAGAGAAAAAAAAAAAATTAAAAATTAATATATAGGATAATAACGAAAGCGAGTGAGGCGAAAGTACAAAAATTTTTTCCTCCAACAGCAGCAGGAGCAGGAGGAGGAGCAGCAGCAGACGAAAAGAGGGGGATCCGTAAGGACGGTAAAAAAAAAACTGAAATGAATAATAATAATAATAATAATAATAATAATTTTACTCCTTCTCGTCGTAATTAAAACTCATCAGCAGGTAATAAATAATTAAAAAAAAAAGAAAAGTTTCTTTTTTTTTCCCTTTTAAGACTTTCATTTTTTTTCCTACTGCTGCCACTACTACTGCTGCTGCTGTTGTTATAAAAAAAAGGATCTTAATGATGAAAAATTAATTCTTTCTTCTTGGAGGTTTTTTTTTTTTTTGTTCTTGAGCTCGTTAAACTGATTTCATTTATTAAACATCATCACTGGAGCAAATCCCGCCCGGACTTTTTTTTCCTTTTTAAATTAATTAATTAATTTATTATTATTATTATTAACAATCTTACCCGTGCTTTCAGTACCGTGTACGTCGGGACATGCTTGATATCGAAACGATAATCTCGAATCGTCGGTGCACGAATCGATTCTCGAAACTGGATTCCCACATTCTCCGTTTCCTCTGATGATCGACGACAACAAAACAAAAAAAAAAAAAATTTTTTTTTTTTCATTATTAATTCGTGTGTGAAAAAAGAGAGAGAGAGAGAAACAACGTGGCAGAAGAAAAAGAAAAAGAAATTTTAAAATATTATTATTATTATTATTATTACTGTTTTTAATTAAAAATGATTCAAAGGAATTAATAAAAAAAGAAAAAAATTTTTTCTCTCGTCTTTTGTTTGTTTTCTTTTTTTCCCTCTTCCCCTCTCTAAAGAAATTCATTTTAAACAACCGACAATCGTCAAACAAACAAACAAACAAGAGACAACTGACAAAAAAGGGAAAAAATTTTTTTTTTGAAGCTCACAAAATGAGAAAATTCTACTAGAAAATATAAAAATTTAAAAAAAAAAAAGGAAGGAAAAAAATCTGAAACCCCGTTCAGAAATCAGGACCGTATTTAAATAATAATAATAATAATAATAGTCGCTTGTAAAAGTAAAAATAATAATAATAATAATAATAATAATAATAATAATAATAATAATTAGAAGAATAAGAAGAAAAATCATTTAATTTTTTTGACTTTTTTCTCACCTGTTGTAGGTAAAAGTAAATGGGGGACCTTTGAAAGGACAAGGTACGGGTCCCCCGATCGGATCCACTCTGAACATTGAATATAGAGTTGCATCTCCTGCAATTTGATTGCAAAGGTTGTCCAAACTGTCTTTTCTATCGCAGTAAGCTGAAAAAAATAAAATAAATAAAAAATAAATAAATAAAATTGTCGTCGACGCCTCTCCCTGTCATCATCATCATCATCATCGACGTATTAATAACAACATAAATTAATATTATCAATAAATAATAATTCATTAAAGTTTTATAAATATTTTCCAATGGAGTGAGTGAGAGAGAGAGAAAGAGAGAGAGAGAGAGAGAGACCCACGCCACACAAACGTCGTCTTTTTCTAATATATAAAATTTATTCCTTTGTGACAGTTTAAATCATTTAGTAACAAAACTAACACCCAATACCTATATAAATCAATCAATTTGTAAATAAAATTTTCATTTTTTACTTTCGTCACGTTTGTTTATGATGATGATGATGATAAACGTTATTATTATTATTAATAATTAATTAATAAATAAAAAATTGAAACGGAAAAAGGAAAAATGTTTTCTCAGCCCTCACCCCTTCCGGAAGAAAAAGGAAAGAATACGTTATTAGTTTAAACCTTTTTTTTCTTTTCCTCATCATTCCCGTGGAGGTAGAATAAAAGGAAAAATAAAAAAATAAATAATATTTTTTCCTTTGAGAAAATGGTTGTCAAAAAAAAAAAAGAAAAAAAACGAAATGAATTTAAGAGATTGAATATTTTTTATTTCAATCTTTTTTTTTTTTATCACGAGAGAGAGAGAGAGAAAGAAAAGTAAAGAAAGAGGAAGAGAGAGAGAGAGAAAAATGGAAAGAAAACGAGAAGGAAGAAGAAAAAAAAGAAGAAATAGGGAGAGAGAAAAATAGAGAAAAAGTTAACGAGAATGAGAAAGAGAAAGAAAAAAAGAAAGACAAAGAGAAAGAGAGACAGAGAGAGAAAGGGAAAGAGAAAGAAAAAAAGGAAGAGAGAGAGAGAGAGAGAGAGAAATGAACGTGTCACTAGCAGTTCAAAAAAAAAAAAACAAAAACGGAAACTATTTTAATTTTTTTTTTTTCTTGTAAGGTAGCCCATAAAAAAAAAATTTTTTTTTTTGAATTCAAAATCAAAGGAAAAATTTTAAAATCCTTAAATATACCATTTTAATTAAAAAAAGAAAAAGGAAAAACATGTGAAAGAAAAGAAAGGAAAAGAAAAAAAACAAATTAGAAGAACAAGAAACTAAAAAAAAAAAAAAAAAACGTCAAAGGAAAAATAATAAATGATGGATGACAAAAGGAAAAAGAAAAGAAAAAAAATCATTTATACGTCGTCGTTTCTCTCTCTCTCTCTCTCTCTTTTTAAAAACTTATAAATCGACGTGTAAATAGACAAATTAAAATCATTAAAAAAAAAAAAAAAACAACATTAATAATAATAATAATAATAATAATAAATCGTTTTTTCTCGGCCATGTTTTTTTTTTTTGTAAATTTCTAAAAGGAAAAAAAAAATGTCGGACGATTAATCTCGTTCAAATCATACAGACGCACGCACGCGCACTCGCGCACTCACGCACTCACACACAAGCAAGCAAAAAAAAGGAAATTAAATTAACGTTTATTAGAAAATTCAAAATGGCGGACGGAAATAAATTACCTTTTTTTTTTTTTATTCGGTGTGAAAATCAATCTTTTAATTATTAATAAAATTCACACTTACAACAATCGATCGATTTGTTGCGGTTGCCCTCCTCCTCCTCCTCCCCCCTACTTTCACATTCCGATCCCTCGACATTCCCCCTTCCCTCCCCTCTTCTCCTTTCACATTCCGATGACTCGACCATTTTCTCCTCTCCCCCCGCCCATTTCCCAAACACATACCTTTGTTATTTATCCTTCTACTTCCCCCCTCCATTTCCCCTCTTATTCATTCCCTCACTTTTCTCTCCCTCTCTCCCCCCATCTCCTTCTCGTTTCGTAACCACCGTAAATTACGTACGTGCGTGTGTGTCGCAATTTCAAACGTTTATAACCGGATATTCGTCGCCATTTTTCCCCCCTCCCCCTACCCGTTATTGTTGTCAAACGATTTTTTTTTTTTTTTTTTTTTTAAATATTAGTAATAATAGGTTGTTTAAACGTCATTGTTTTTCCATCGACCATTATCATTATTATTATTACGACTTTGATTTTTACGAATATAATAATAATAATTTTTATTATTCTTTTTTATCGCAAGTACGAATCGAATACGTAAAAATGACGTCAGACGTTTCAAAAAGAAAAAAAAGGAAGGAAGAAAGGAAGAAGAGGGTGGGGGGAGAAAAGAAGGGGAGACGGTGATGGTGGTGGTGGGATGAGTGAAAATAAATAAAGGAAAAAAAGTTGATCGTAAAAATATTAAATATGGCGAAGCGGGATTGTGAAAAATTTATTATTAAATAATAATAATAATAATAATAATAATTGTAAAGAGAGGAAAACTTTTAAATCCCGGGTTACCTGAAAATATGAAAAAACTTTAACCGCTTGTAACTTTAATTATCTGTTAATTAACTCGGGTAATAATTAATTTATTAGTAAAAATTTTATCGTTGTTGCGACAAAAAAATAAAAAAATAAAATTAAAAACGTTTTATTGATTTTCGCGCGGGTTTCGTATTTAAACAGAGAGAGAGAGAGAGAGAGAGAGAGAAACTCCTGCGGAAACAGGAAATTATTCGACTTCGAAACCGTAAAAAAAAAAAAAAAAAAAAAATTAAAAAGTTCCGGAATGTTTAAAAAAAAAAAGGTTTATATGCAATTTAAAACTGAAAAAATAAAAAAAGCAGAAGACAAAGAAAATTTTTACGTTCGTTAATTAATTATTTAATAAAATGAATGACGTTCATCATTTTTTTCATTTCAATTTATTTAAACTTTTTATTATTATTATTATTAATATTTTTTTTTTTATTCTCTCTCTACCACTCTCTCTCTCTGTCTCTCTCTCTCTCTTTCTCTTTCTCACACGACTTTTCACGTAATAAAAAAAGTTTTAAAAATCGGAAAAACAAAAAAAAAAATTGTTGCCGAAACTTGTTTTTCCCCTCACCCTCCCCACTTCCCCATCGAGTTCCTTTGATTTTATTTGGCAACCGTAAAACAATTAAAATCAAAAACCGCCATTTTTTTTTTTTTAATCTAAAATTTTTGGCGGGAAAGCGAATGGGTGGGGGTATGAGTGAAAAGAAAAAAATGAAAGGAAAAAAAAAAAAAAAAGAAAAATGCGATGGGATGAGATAAAACGAGAAAGAGGGGGAAGGGGAAAGTGTGGTGGGTAGGGGTGAGAGGAGGGGAGTAAGGGTTTGGGGGGGTAAAATTTAGGCAACCAAAAAAAAAAATAAAAATAAAAAAACGGAAAAAGTTTTCCACTTCAAAAAGGTTTTTTTTTGTTTTTTTTTGTTTTTTTTTTTTTTTTTTACACGAATGAGTAAAAGGAATTGTTGATATAAATGATAATAAAAATTCTGTAAATTTTTAATTTTCTTCCCCCTTCCCACTACTACCTTTCCCCCAGGAAAAATTCCCACTTTTCCTTCTTTAATTTTTTTCCCCTCCCCATCCCTTCATTCAACTCTTTCCATCGTTACGTCACATTCAAACTTCATTTTTACTTCTGCTCGAATGAATTCTTTTTATTAAAAAAGTATAAAATTTGATTAACATTTTTTTAGGCTCGTCTCCCTCCTCTTCCCCCCTTCTTCCCCCTATCTCCCTTACGCCCCCATCTCCCTCTTTCGCTCGCTTCGAATTCTGACGTTGAAATAAAAAAACAAAAAAATTCAAATTTTCAGGAAACAACCCACCCCCCTCGCTCCCTCACACAAGCAACACCTCATCTCCTTTTGCCTCTCGCTTCCCCCCTTCCCCATTCCACCTCCCGCTTTTCCTTCTTATTCTTTTCCGGTAATAAACGGTTTATCTATTGAAAATATTTCAACCGAAAACAACTTTTTCAATTCTCTTTATTAACAAAAAAAAAAAAAACCAAATTTACTACGAAAAATCCCTCCTCCCCTTTTCCCTCTCTCCCTCACCTCCCCGTCCCTCTTTCACAACCACTCTCACTTTCCCTCCTTCCCTCACTCCCCCCACCTCCTTTTTCTTCCTTTCTTTCTTTCCTTTTTTTTTTAATCAATTGCGTCACTTAATTCTTTTAATTATTATTATTATTATTAATATAACTCGATTATGAAAGAACGAAGAAGAGGGAGGGAGAATTTCAAACAAAAAATTGTCAAAATGGCGCGAAATTTTTTTGTCGTTTTAACTTCCGGTTGATTAATGACGTCATTTTTATCGAAAAAAAAAAACAAAATAAAATTTTCTTTTTTCTCTTTTCCTTCTTTTTTAAAATGTTAAATAATAATAATAATGATCATTAATGATGATTTAATGACGTAATGTAATGACGACGATGATAACGATAATGATGATGATGATTATTATTTATTTTTGAAATTTTATATATATATAAATAAAGTTAAATTGTTACGTCAGGGAAAAAGTTGTTTTTTTTTTGAAAATAATAAGAAAATGAGGAAAATAAAATAAAAAATAAAAAAGTTTATTTTTATAAACTTTTTTTTTTATTTTATTATTAAAAAAAAAAAAATTTAAATAAGGAAAAAGGAAAAAAAATAAAATAAAATAAAATAAAGCAGAAGTAAAAAAAAGGAAAACAAGAAAAAGTTTATAAAAAAAAAAAAGTAAAAAACAAAACATAATAAATTAAAAAAAAAAAAAAAGAAAACAGATAATAGGGAATATATAATAAAATAAAATATTTAAGGAAAATTTACGAATAAAAATAAAAAGTTTATAAAATAAAATAATAATAATAATAAAAATAATAATAATAATAATGATAAAGACGACAACAACAAAAACAACAACAAACGGCAAAAGTATAATACATAACCAGGAAAAAATGGCGCCTAAAAACTATTTTTTTCTTTTTTTAAAAAAGGTTTAAACGAATTTTAAAATGGTAAAAAGAAAAAAAGGTAAAAACAATGGTCAATGGAAAAAAGATTTAACAAAGGAAAAACGACGGCGCCTTTCACGAGCGACAGCCAACCAAAAAAGGAAAAAAAATTATTTGATTAAAATAAATTTATCATTTTGGTGGTGGAAAACGTAAAGCAGACGATGTTTATCCAAGGGAAAATAATTTATCCCGTCAAAATCTTATTTAAATATTCCAAATTTTCGAATTCAATCGAGTGAACATCACGGACATGTTGTCAAATAATAATAATAATAATAATAATAATAATAACCGAAAATGAAAATTTTAAAATTATATACAATAAATGAATGAATGAATGAATGAATGACGGAGGAATGATTGACGCCGAGCCTTTTTCAAAAACATTTTCAAAATGATTCGGGTAATAATCGAAAAACGACAAACTAACGAATCCCTCCCCTCCATCCCCTCCCTCTCTCTTACTCCCTTCTACTTCCCCTATCCTACTCCCTCCACCAAAAGAAAAACGTTAAAAAACGATAAATGAAAAAATAAAAAAAACTTTTTTTTTTAAATTTCGCGCCAAATTTAAAAAAGAAAAAAAAATCGATTCACTTCCTTTACGCTTTCCCGCCCTTTTCCCCTTCTTCTCCTTCTCCCCCTTTCTCCTCCTCTTCTTCCCCCTTCTACCTTTTTCTTAAATTCAAATCATTAAAAATTTAAGAAAAAAAATTTTCATTTTTTTTTTTTTACTTCCGTTTCCGCTTTTGATTAAAAAAAAAGAAAAAAGAAACAAACAATGTTTTTCCTCTGCTTCCGCTGCCGATCCCACCACCCTCCACTTCTCCTACCGTTTCTTTCTTTTCCCCTTCTATCATCTTTGACTTTTACACAATAAATATAATAATCGTAATCATTATTATTATTATTATTATCGCGGCGTCAGCGTCGGCGGCGGCTCCCTATTTTGACTTTTCCCTTCCTCCCTCCCCCATCAATTTTTTACATTAACTCGATATCGCATTTTACATTTAAAAAAAAAAAAAAATTTTCTAGAAAATTCGTCCTGATCGTCGTAAAAACATTTTCATTTTCTCTCTTTCTCTCTCTCTCTTTCTTATTCTTTTTTTCTTTTTTAAATTTTTTCTCTGTCTTTATTCCTCTCGTTCATTTTTGTGTGTTAAGAAAAAGTGTTGCCGTCGACTATTTCCGTCCGACAACGAGTGTCTGAATAAGATAAGACGACGATGATGAATGCATTTCTTAAAAAAAAAAAGGGGGGGAGGGGAAAATCTTTGCACACGTGACAACCGTGAAAAGTAAAAGGGGAAGGGGGTGAGGGCGGGGCTTAAAAGAAAAACGAAAGAAAAAATTTGTCGTTTATACAAAAAAAAAACGATGATTGTTGTGACGTCTAATAATAATAATTAAATCTTTTTTAAAAAAATCGAATGAATTAATGAATGACTGATTGAATTAATTAATTACGGAGAGATTTGGAAAAAATAATAAAAAGAATTATAACGGTCAAATAAAATGTTAAAAAGGGTCATCAGATGATCTCCTCTTCCTGTTTAAAACAACACAAATAAAAAAAAAATTCATTTACTTCCGGTTTTGTGTTTTTTACAGGTCGAATACACAGGAAATTATTTTCCTTTTTTTTCTTTCCTTTTTTTTCCTTTTTTTCCTTTTTTTTTTTTTTTTTTTTTTGCTTATTTGAATTAAAAACTTTTTAACGAATTCAATTTTTTTATTTTTTTACCCTTTCCCGTTTAAGTCCACGTTAAAGTTTTAATTTGTCTAAATCCACGATCGTGTGATGAAAACACATTCGCACATAAATGTGCCCCCTCCCCCCCGATTTTCCGACGTTAATTGATTTTAAATCAATTAAATTTATTAAAATAAAAAGAGATGGAAAATCTCACCACCGCCACCTGTGTAGATTTTTTTTATATTTTTTTTTTTTTACTTTCGTGAAATCTCCTATTTTCTCCTTCCACGTACTTTTTTCATTCACTCCCGTCCGCCATCTATCCATCTTTATAATTCCAAAACCTTTTTTTTTTTCCCTTTATTTTTACTGAGGGGCATATAAAAGAGAGAAAGAGAGGGGGAATAAAAACTCTGTAACTCGAATGCTTTTTCTCACGGTTCCCCATTGCTACCAACCTTTCCCCCCAAAAAAAAAAAAATAAAATAAAAAAAAAACAAAAAAAAAAAAATCAGCCTCAAGGGTTTTTATTATTATTATTATTATTTCAAAAAAAAAAAAAACTTTCGCATCAGGTACATTTTTTTTTTTTTCGAAAAGTTCGTAGTTGAATATGAGGGAATGAGAAACAGAGCGGAAAAAAAAAGAGTGAAAGAGAGATGGGGTGAGAGTAAGAGAGAGAGAGAGAGAGAGAGAGAGAGAGAATACGTGTGCATGAAATCGGAAAAGGACAAAAAAAAAAAAAGGGAAATGGTTGATGCAAAACCACTTTTAATTATTAAAAAAAAAAGGAAAATTATTATTATCATCATCATCATTATTATCATTGGAAAGAAAAATGAATGAAAAGCAGAAGAAAAAATTTTAATTTTAATTTTACTTACTTTCTTTATACTGCAAAACGTTTTGATGTTTTTCATGGATGACCATGCAACGGAAACAATTTTCCGATCTGTAAATATAAAAAAAAATTTCCAATCAATCGAATGATGACGTATCACTTACGTCACACATATTCTCTCTATCTCTCTCACACACATTAAAATTTCGTTTTCATAGCACGACACGACATAAAATACAAAACGGGAAATAAAAAAACCGTTTTGATTTAAAACCGGATGTTAAAAAAACTTGGGAAAAAAAATTAAACATTAAGCAGAAGACAAAAAAAAAAGAAAAAAGTCAAATTCGAAGTTAAACTTACGTAATATTAACAAAAACCGGAAGTGTTGCTTCTTTTTAAAAAAAAAAAAAGGCGGGAAAGTGAGAAAAATTTTGATTTTTTTTTGTATTTTGACGTAAAAATAATAAAAGACCGGAAATACGAAATCAATTTAATAATAATTTATTAGGTTTTTATATTAATAATAATAATAATTTCTTTCTTTCTTTTTCTTCGGGTTTCCGGTGATATAAATTTTTCTTATTTTTTTTTTTCAGTTTTTAATTTTTTCAGTTTCCCGTTTTAATTCTAATCACATAACGACAATTATAAAAAAAAAAAAAAAAAAAACTTTTATTATTACAACCGCAATAAATTTTTTTTTTTTTTTGTAAAATGGCGGCGGATACATTTAAAATGTGCAATGACTGCACCATTTGTTTTTTTTTTTTTTTAAATGTAATAATTCATTCGTTATTTCATTCTCTAGGAGGAATGGAGAAGAAAAAAAGAAAAAAAAGAAAAAACCTGAAATTATTATTATTATTAATACAATTAATGAATGCATTTCCGTAAAAATTCCAAGCGGGTATTTTAATTTGTGGTAATGACGTCAAACGTATTATTATTATTATTATTATTATTATTATTATTATTATTATTATTATTTTCAATTTATATGTGTCAAGTTGGGAGGATGAAAAATTATTTACAAAAAAATTTTTTCTAAATGACGAGAGGGAAAAAAGAAACAAAAAAAAAGGGGAATTTCTGGATGGAAGAAGAATTGATTTGAAGAGAGTAAATATGATAAGAAAAGTGGAAGAAACGAAAAGATTCGAAGAGGAAAGGTAAAAAAATAAATACCGGAAATAGAAAGAGAGTAAGGAATAAAAAAGAAAAGAGAAAGAGAATGAGAGATATAAAGCAAAGAGATTATGAGATAGAGAGTGAGGAAGTATAAAAGTAGGCAAAAGGCAAAGAATGAAAGAGAAAATATACAGGAAGATTAGAAAGAGGGAATAACAGAAAAGAGAAAAAAGAGAGATTAAAAAAAAAATAGAAAGAAAAAAAAGGGAGAGAATGGCGAAAAAAACAATTTTTAGAGAGAAAGAGAGAGTCGAATAAATAGTAGAGGAAGAAATAAAAGAAAAAGGCGTAGAGAGAGAGAAATAAAGCAAAAAGCGAATGAAATAGAGAAGGACAATAGAAAAACAGAGAGAGAGAAAGGAATAAAAAGAAAAAAAAAGAGAAAGAGCGAGATGAAAATAAAATAAATACAGAAAGAAAAAAAGAAAAGAGAAAGAGATTAATATAGAAAAAAAGGAGAGAGAGAATGAAGAATAAGAGGATTTTTAGAAAAAAAGAGAGAGAGATAAAGCAAAACGAAAATGAAACACGGAAGGAGAGTAGAGAAAATGAAGGAAGAAAGGGAAAGGAAAAGAAAGAAAACAGAGAGAAAGAGAGGAAGATTAAAAGAAGAGAAAAGGGATAAAGAGGTAGGGAAAGAAGACAAAAAGAGAGAGAGAGATGTAGAACAAAAAAAAAAACTTTTCTGAACATAAAACTAGAACGACCAAACGGTTTTCAGAGTTACTTGAGTTGTTAATTATGTTCGGTTCCACGATTCCAACACTTGAAAAAACATATTATACTAATATTATTATTATTATTATTATCATTATTATTATTATTTAATGTGTAAACTTCCGGTTTCCTTTTTTTCCCTTTTTTTTCTTTTTTCTTCACTATTGATTTTTTCCACTTTTAAAATAATACAAAAAGTTATAATAAAACACACGAGCGCGCACACACGCTTGAAATTTATTTATTTATTTACAGTGTTGCCAACTTAAAACGCTTTTCATCATTACCACCTTAAAAAAAAAAAAAAAATCGATATTTATTATAATATTAATATCCATCATCGTAATTCCTTTTTTTATTTTTCTGTTAACAAATCATTAAACTAATGCCACTTACTTTCCCCTCCCTTCTTTTCTTCTTCCTACTATTAGTTCTACTTACACGTAAATTTATATAATAAACGAATTTAATTTAATAATAATAATAATAATAATAAAACACGAAACGAATGAATTTTATTAGAAAATAAAAAAAATTTTTTTTTTTTTTATAGGTGATGAAATGAAAATGTTTAAGAGCCGCCATAATCTTATTATAGTTTCTAAAACATTAATAAAAACAATTTTATTGACAAAATTTATTTATTTATTTATTTTATGACTATTATAATTTTTATCTTTTTTTTTATTTATTATTATTGATAAATTTTATATTAACTTTCTAGTGACACGTACACTTTTTTTTTTTAAAAAAAAAAAAAAAAGGAAAAGTCGTTAACGAGTTAAAGTTTAATTTTATTTTTTTAAAAAAGTTAAATTACTGGATTATATAATTTTAATACGAGATATTTTTAAATAACAACAATTGATTATCGATCGATATATCGAACGATATATTGAAAAACTCTAAATTTATTTTTATTTATTTATTTTTTTTTTTCAATTTTTTTTTTTTATTATCATTTTCGTAAACTTAGTTTAATATTAATAGGAAGGAAAACAAAGAAAAAAAAAGAAATATGAAAGAAAGAAAGAGAAAGAGAGAGAATGAAGTGAAAACAGAGAGAGAAAGAGAGAGAGAGAGAGAGAGAGAGAGAGAGAGAGAGAGAGAGAGAGACAGTAAATAAATCAATGCATAAAAAAAATGATAATAAAGTAAAAAAACAAAAAAAAATGAGTTTTTTTTTTCTCTCTTTCACTCTTTTCAATTTTCACTCCGTGTTTTTCACCGCGTAAAAATTTTATTTTTCTTTCCCCTTCCCCCTCCTCTCTCTCTTTCTCTCTCTCTTTTTTAACCGAATTCACAAAAAAAAAACTTTTTTTCTCCAGGAAAAAATACTTTTACGTTTCATATAATTTGTTAGAATTTTTTTTTTTTTTTTAATAATTTAATTTAATTGGGCGAAAATATTATTATTATTCTTTATAATCTTCGACATTTAAATTATAATAATAATAATAATAATAATAATAATAATGATGATGATAATGATAATAAATTTTTAAAAAAAAAAACATTTCGCGAAGACGATTATAAACACTTCATAAAAATTTAAAAAACGAATTCGTGATTTCTCTCCCCCCCTTCCTCTTCCCCTCCACCTCCTACTCTTCCCCCTATCCCTCCCTCCCCAGTAACGAAATGGTAAAAATTTTTACTTAAATTTGAAGAGAAAAAAAAACAATTTTCCAAAAAATGTTTTTAAAATTATATATATAAGATTCGATATAAAATATTATCATCCGTCGTCTCCGCCATTTTGATTTCCCCTCTCCCCCTCCCCAAAAATTTTCTTTTTGTCTTATGATTTAATATTTAATACGCGATTTATAAAAAAAAAATTACTAAAACTAATTGGTTACTAATAAAACAAATTTAAAAAAAAAAAATTAAAACTGCATTTAAAGGAAAAAAAAAAAAAAACGTTAAAAAATTTTCCTTTTTAATGATAATAATGATAATGATAATAAAACACACATAAAATAAATTTTAATAATAATTTTTTTTTCTTGTTTTTTTTTTCGCGGCGGTTAAATTCGAATAAGTTTTAATTTCCCGTTTCCTTTTTTTATTACCTTCCTTTCCTTTTCTATCCTTTTCTCTCTTATTATAAATAAGGGAAAACAAAGGAATCGTAAAAAATAAAATTTAAAACTTTTTATTTCGTATTAAAAGGAAAAAACCTTTTTTGCGAAATAAAAATATTCGAAAAGTAAAATTCCACAAAAAAAAACTACACGAAAGAGAGAGAGAGAGAGAGAGAGACGGGGAGAGATAAAGGAGAAAATGAGAGAGAAAAAAAGAGATAGAAAAAAAAAAACTTTTGAATTCGACCATAGACGTTTAGTACAAACGTAAAAGAAAATTTTAATTACATTCATCGATTACAAACTAACGATTGGTTTTACTCTATGGTCTGTAATATAAAAAAAAAGACGAAAATTTAAAATGAATTAACACTCTCGTAAATTAAAAATATTCGACTTGGGTCATTTTAAAAAATTTGTTTTTTTTTTAAAATTTTCCTGATAATAAGAAAGAGAAAAGAGAAGTGGGGGAATGGGCGAAAAATGGGGAATAGAAATAGGGGAGGGATGGGAGGAAGAGCAAAAGGAAAGGGGCGGGGAAGAATGGGAGGAGTGAGAGTGGGAAGAGCGGGAGGGGAAATAAAAGAATAATTAAATGTCGCATGAAAAGATTTCATTTTGGGGAAAAAAAATTTTTTTTTAATACCCATTCGTCAGCCATTTTATTTTTTTTTCCCGTACGTAGTCGTAATTGAAAACTTTAAAAAACGGAAATGAAAATTTTCAAAGTTATTAAACGTTTTAAATAAAATGCATTCTGCACTTAAAACTCCTTCGGGCCACGACATTTTTTCCACGCACGCGCACACGCACACACATTTAAATCCACCGCAATAATAATAATAATATTTTTTAAAAGCCTAAAAAAAAAAAATTTCATCGAATTATTTTTATTAAGCAACCTCAACATTAGTTTAAAACACAATAGTATTAATAACAATAATAAAACCGGAAACGGAAATTTCGGATTTTAAAAGAAAAAAAAAAAAAATTTATTAATGCGTGCAAAACTTCCGTTCGTTTTTTTTTTTTTTTTAAATCAAAAAAATTTTTTTTTTATTTATTTTGCCTTTTTTTTTTCCTATCGAAACCTTTCCGCCATTTTTATTTTTTTGTTGTCTTTCGCAACCGGATTACTATTTAGGTAGGGAAAAAAAAGGGTCAACTACTACTATAAAAAAATGTAGGAAATAAACAAATGTAAAAAAAAAAAATTTTTTTTTTTTTGCTTTCCTCTCGTGTTTCTCCATTTCCAGTTTTAAATGAATTATGTATTGCATTAAACCCTTTCTGAACAGGTTTGGATAATGTTTTTTTTTTCGTGGAAAGGGGGGAAGAGGGAGGAGGAGAGGGGATGAGAGGGAAGAGGAGGCTTGAAAACGACGAGAGAAAAAAACCGCGACAAAGTCTATTTCGAAAAAGGGAGAGTAAAAGGGAGAGAGAGGAAGAAAGAAAAGGTTTTTTTTCCCTTCCCCCTCCCCTATTCTTCTATTTCATCTCTTTCTCTCTTCTTTACCCTCCCCCCCTCTCTCTCTCTTTTAAAAAAAGGTTCGTCGCGAATAAAAACGAAATAGATATTATATATTATACATAATTAACTTGGCAATTTTAGCACGACTATTTTTTTTTTTTTTTTCTCCCGAAGAAATAAAATAAAAGAAAATCATAATTTAAAAAAAAAAATGGCGCTTCTCTCTCTCTCTCTCTCATAAAATTTCCGAGGCCCTTTTTTTCGGTAGGGCCCAAAAAAAAGAATAAAAAAAACAAAAAACAAAAAAAAAAATTTTTTTTCGAGTTCGTAATTTTTTTTTTCCGGGGGGATTTTTGAAAACGAATCGTACGCGCACGCGCACACCCATGCACTTCATTCAAAATGATTATAATAAATAAATAAATAATTAACGTAAATAAATAAATAAACAAACAAACAAACTCACGTGTCTTCAATCATGTATTTATCATTTGAATTTTCAATGCATCTTCCTTTTGTTTCTATCCATGATGAATTTATTGTTAAAAGATTTTGTACGCTGCTTATAAACCATTTACCAACCCATTCATTTTTAAATTCGCAGCCACCTGTAACGAAAAAAAAAAGAAAAAATTTTAATTTTAAATAACGAACATTTCGATTGTGACGTCATTTCGCGTCATTATTTATATATATATATATATATATATATATATATATATATATATATATATATATATATATATATATTTTTTTTTTTCCTTTTTCTTGCTCTCTCTCTTTCTCCCTCTCTTTAACTCATCGTCGATTTTTCCTACTTCTATTTCTGCTACTAACTTATTTAAAAATAAATAAATTAATAAAATAAAAGACGATGAATAATTTAAAAAATGAAAAAAAAAAAAACCGGAAGTAAGGAAAAATCCGAAATTGAAATTATCATTAAAAATTAATACAGTATAGAGAAAATAATTAATAATTTCGACCAATCAAAAATTTAGAAAATAATTTATAATTTCGACCAATCAAAATCGAGGATTTGTTTATAAACGTTAAATTATTTAAAAGCGCGTTCAGAAATACCCGAACAAAAAGAAAAAAAAAAAAAGAAAAGAAAGATTTTTTGAATTTCCTTTCTCTTTCTCTCTCTCTCTCTCTCTCTCTCTCTCTCTCTCTCTCTCTCTTTTTTCTTCTTCTTCTCAATTTCTCGAATAAAAAAAAAAAAAAACAGGAGCATTAAAAAGGGTGAGTCAATAAAAAAAAAAGCGACCATTGAAATGAAAAACAAAAAAAAAAAAAAAATAATAATTCTTCTCGAATTCGAGGGACGCCATCTTTAAAAAAAAAAAACCGTTATTCGAAGGGTTTAATTAGCATTATGTCATTTTCTTTCTCTAAAAAAAAAAAAAGAAAAAGAAATTTTTAAAAATTACATTTCAAATGATTGTTTAATAAAGCTGTGGTTGCAACAACTCCCCATCGTATCGTCATTTTCCTTTTTTTTTTATTATTCATTTTTCTACCCTTTCACCCTCTCTCTCTCTCTCTCTCTCTCTCTCTCTCTCTCTCATTTAAGACGCCATATTGTTTTTTATTTCTTATTAAAATTTTTCTTTTTTTTTTCTCCTTCGTCATGCTTTTGGGTTTTTTTTTTTTTGTAACGATCGAACGAACACGATGAAAACATCAATCGATTGTCATGTGTCCAAAAGGGGTGGCAATTACTTAAACGATAAACAAACAAACAAACAAAACGTCGACACACCTCTTAAAACGATTATAATTACGTTTGATGACAAAACAAACAAAAAGTAAAACATAAAAAATTACGATAAATATTTTTTTGATCGTATTGAGTAGACGGAAACGGAAATAAAAGAGGATTAAAAGAGGGAGGTGTTCGGGGGAGGGGGTTCATCGAGAGGAGGGAGTTGAATATCAATCCAGATCTCATCATCCAAGAGTTAAATCGGTGAAAAAAAAAGAAAAAATTTCGGTTCCTTTTTTTTTTTGTTAATTTACGACATTTTTTGTTTAATTATTTACACGACAAACAAACGATTGGAGAGACACTCGACGTTGGTTGTTCTTCGTCAAAATTTTCCAGGTTGGAAACAATTTTCGACTCGAGTTAAAAAGAAAAAAAATTTAAATTAATAATGATAATTAAACAACAAGAACCCAAAAAGTACACTCGAGAAAAAAAACGGTTTTGACCTCGTGTGTGTGTAAATACACGAGAAAAAAGGAAAATATTAAAGTAAACAAATTTCGAACGTGGAAATAACGCGACCGGAAACGAAAAAAAAAAAAGTAATTTCGTAAAAGTGACTCAAGTTAAACCTCAAATTACGCTTTGTAATGATTTCCCCTTCCCCCTCCCCGGTTGGGGGGAGGTGGGAGAGGTAAAATTTTTTTAATGTGTGAATCACTACCCCCTTTCCCTTCCCTTCCCCCCAAAGAAAAAAAAATTAAACGATCGTGTCATTAATAAATTAAATGATTTAATAATATTCGTCGTTGATAATTAATGTCGGCCGTAAAAAAAAAAGTTTACATATTTCATTTTTTTCTTTTTTTTTCTCTCTCAAAAAATTTAATTAAATTTATAATTAAAATAAAATTAATTTTTTTAAACAAGAAAAAAAAAGGAAAGACAAACGAAAAAGTAAAAAAAAAAGGAAAAAGAAAAACAAAAAAGAAAAAAAAAGAAAAAGTCGTTAAACCCAGACATTACATCCACACTCACGACGTATTTTTATTTAATATTAATTAAAATTTTTTTTTAAAAAAATGACGTGTCATTAGAACACGTATTTAAAATGTTCGATACAAAATGTTGCATCCACGATCGGTTTAATTTTTTTTTCATCGATCCAAATCGACTTGTTGCTTTGTTTACTCATAGAGAAAATAAACAAAAAGAAAGGAAAAATTCATCTTTCCTTCATTTCCTGTTGTTCTCTTTATATTTCTTCCCTCTTTCTCTCTCTTTTGTGCATTCGTAGAAAAGCGGAGGGTGGGAAGTGAGAGCGGGGATGGCAAGTAAAGGGGTCATTGACCTTAGTGGCAAAAGTTATTTAAACTCGAAAAGAAAAAATTAAATGAGAAAATTTTTTTTTTTTTTTTTAAACCGAAAACGTCGAAAGAATCGAAAATTAATCGCGAGGTAGAAAACGGGAAGAGAGAGAGAGAGAGAGAGAGAAAGGGGAGGAGGAAGGGAGAGGGAGGAATAAAGAAAGAGTAAAACATACCGAGAGAAAGAGAAAAATAAAAAAAAAAAACTTTCGGACCAGAAATTTTTCATTAAAAATTTTTGCGGGTTTAAACAATTTAACGGAAAAGTTTTTTTTTTTTTCTCCATTTTTCTTTCTTCTTCTTTCTTTCTTTCTTATCTCCACGTCATACTAACGATCTTTTACGTATTTATTTTTATTTTATTTTTTTCGTCATAAAATTAATTAAATTTAAAAACTTTTTTTTTCCATCCCTCCTTCCATTCCCTCTCTTATCCATTTAAATGATTTAAATAATAATAAAATAATGAAATAATGATTATTATTATTATTAAGATGATAAAAAAAAAAACAAAAAGCATTATTTTTTTAAATGACTTCATATTATCTCCTGCCACGTCATCGTCATTGTCGTCCTCAGACAATCCTTTTTATTCTTTTTTTTTTTAAATTAATAAATTAAAATGATTACAGCATTTAATTTTTTTCTTTCTTTTTTTCTTTGTTACAAATCTAAATCACATTATCATCATCATCATCATCATTATTATTATTATTTCACTACGTCGGATGTTAAATTTCATTTTCGCGATTTAAAAAAAAAAAAAAAAATTCTTTTTCAAAATGGCGGATTGTAAAAGTTTTTTTTTTTTTTTTTGTAAAACTCAACCGGAAATAAAAATTTTTTTTTATTTTATAAAATTGTGAACAACTGACCGGAAAATAAACAAAAAAAAAGGAAAAAAAAGAAAAAAAAATTAATTAGGAAATAAAAAAAAAAGAACGTGGAACTAGATAAAGAAAAAAGATAAAGTTAATCAACGCTCCTCCTCTCGTTGCAATTAAAACGTAAAAGACGTAATTTTAAATTATTTTCATTCGTAATTTTTCTCTCTCTCTTTCTCTCTGCATCCCTTTCCATCCCTCTCCTTCCCTCCCTTCCTCTTCCTCTACCTCTCGTCTCGTCTTTCTCTTATACGATCGGACCAAACTTCAAACGATTTTCATTATTTATCCATCTTTGAAATAAGCAAAACCTTTTTCATTTTCCAATTTTCTTATTCCATCTTATTTTACTTACTTACTAACGTCTTTGAATTTTATATAAAATAATTTTCTTCAACATTTCAAAATGGAAAAAAAAAAGAGAGATAGAGAGAGAGAATTCGAAAGAGAGAGAAAGAGAGAAAAAGGGTTTTTTTTCCAATTGGTAAAAACTCGACCGACCGTCCGTTCAACCCAACCAAATCGGGGAGGGGCCCTTTTCTGCATTTTACAATATTAAAAAAACAAAAACAAAATAATAATAATAATAATAATAATAATGATAATCACGATTTTCTTTTTATATTTGTAAAAAAAAAAAAAAAATTCTTCTGCTTTTATAATTTTAATAACAAACTTTGGGTTAAACCTAATAAAACAAGTGCAACTAATTACGGTTCTCGCCACATTAAATTTAAAGAACATTCAATAATAATAATAATAATTTCTCTCTCTCTCTTTCATTTTCTTTTTTTTTTTTTAAATAATAACAACAGCAAGTTAAGAAAATATAAGGAAATAAAGGAGAGAGAGAGAGAGAAACAAAAAAAAGGGTTTCCTTCAATTTCAAATAAAATTATTATTATTATTTTTCTCGTTTTTTTTTGTTTTGCGACGACCTTCTCCGTCTATAAGATAATGTAAAAAAAGAGACAAAGCTACATATACATATAAAATGAGAGAGAGAGAAAGGAAAAACGCGTAAATTTAAAAAAAAAAAAAAGAAAAAGAAAAAAAAAACGCGTGGAAAAATTTTAAAAAAAATTAATTTTAAATCGTTATGAAATCGTTAAAATGATTTTAAAAAGAAAATGAAAAAAATCGACCAATGAAAAACGTTCGATCGACAACTCGCTACGTGATTGGTTGGTTTTTTTAATGACGTAATAATTACGCAAAACACGTAAACATATATAAACGCGCGCGATTGTGTGTGCATACGACGTAATAATTATTTTGTCATCCGCATGCAGTTTTCCTTTTCGTATTCTTTCATTCTTTTAATTCCTTTTTTCCTTTTTTCCTTTATTCCTTTCTTTCCTTTTTTTTTTATTAAAACTTAAATAAAAGAAGATTTAAAAACCGGATTTTTTTAATTTTTCATTATGCACACACACCTTTTTTTCGCATAATATTAAAAAAAAAGAAAATAAAATCATAATAATGATAACAACGACAACAACAACAACAGCAACAGCGGCAAAACAAAAACTTTTGTTATTTTTTCATTGAGGCTGGATTATCTAAGATTAGAAAAGGATTAAATTTGGTTTAGATTTTCTCGTTTTTTCATTTTATTTTTATTCGATTTATATTTTCACCGCTCGCAAAATTCTTCTTAATTTTTAATATATATTAATATATATAAATATTTTCTTTTTCTAGAATTTTCTCGCTTCGGTTAATAACAAAAATAACAACGAAGACGACGACACCAAAAACCGAGAAAACATAATGATATTAGTGAGAAAAAAAAAAAATTTAAGTTTTTTTCTTTGCATTTTAAAAATCCCTTCATAATCATAATCATCATCATCATCATCATCATTATTATTATTATTATTTTTACAAAACGTAAAAAACCGATTAGATACACGCAAACTCGCACGCGCAGATAATAGTAATAAATAATATTAATAACAAAAGAATTTTTTTTTTTTTTTACTTTCGAGACTCGTTTTTTTTCCATTCGTTCGATTTTATCCGACGCCATTTTGAAAAATGCAAAAAAAATTTTTTTTTTATTTTCGCCATCAAAGTAACAAAAACAAAAAAACAGTAAATTGGATCCGGTTTGTTATACGAAACAAAGGAAAACGCGAAACAAACGTGAAAATTTAAAAAAAAAAAAAAAAAAAAAAAAATTTATTCGATTAAAACGATGACGACGATTAACCCTCAGGTAATGATGATGATGATGATGATGATGATGATGATGATGATGATGACGAGCGAGGAAAATGACAGAAAGGGAGGGGAAAAAGGAGGGCAGGGGGTGAAGGAAGGCGGAAGAGTCAAAAAAAGCAGAAAAATTTAAACACACATACAGAAACATAAATAAATTCATTCATTCATTATCAAAACCGGGATAAAAAATTCACGTGACGTCATTAAATCGAATTTTTTTTCTTTTTTTTGCTATGTGTAAAAAGCGAAAGGAAATGACGTCATTAACGAAAGTTTAATTATTTATATATGAGGAAAAATGAA